ATGATTTAATGAATGAGTTAACCTTGCAGCGGAAGAGTATAGAGAAGATAAATGAAAGAATTGGGGGATTAGAATGTAGACATGATTATGATAGTGAGTACCTACAGAGGCTTTCTGACTTCGAGATATCTTACTATGAAGCTCAGGCCTGACACTACAGAGGTGAGCCTGATGTTACTTTTTTTGAATGCCCCCGTTATACTCAGTATAAGCCCAATCCACCTGCTGACCCGGGAGACAAGGATATAGTATGGGATTTTGATATATGATAGTGATTGATGTACTTTTGTTTTGTGATTTTGTGATAGAGATAGATGTATGTTTGTTTGTACTTTCATTTTATTCTATATTTTATTTTATGTTTGCAGTTAGATAATTTTTAATTATTGTTGTAAATGTTTAATGTTATAGTTTGAAATTTGCATGTGTAGTTATAATAGACTTTGAGTAGTACTTTGTAAAATTATAATGTGATGTGATTTTTTTTTGCAATGTGATGTATTTTTAATTGTTTTTATTTAGTATTGTGATGTGTTAGTGAAATATGGTGCTTGTATAATGTTCAGTTTTGTACTTATTTCAAAATTTTATTACCCAGCAAATTCTCTAATGATTTATATATATAGAAAGCTCCTAATATTACAGACCAGTTAAAGTAAAAATTTTAAAAAGGAACAGTAAAAATTTCAGAAAGATGAAAATGCCTAAAGTACTGAGGTATGATTTATATTTAAAATTTTTTTTCCACCTGTATCATTTCATATTGAAAAATTTAAGTTTGGGGGAGGGAAGAAAAAGATTAACTATTATATGTTCTCAATTTAAATATTTATTAAGTTAATAAAAACATAAAACGATGATTTTTTGTGGTGAATTTAATTCAGATAACCATATTTTGTAGATATTTAAATATAATGGTAAACTATGGTAGATTTAAAAGAATATTTTTGTAAGGAAAATTAATTTTGTAGATTAAGATATTTAGTATAAGAGAATAAGACTATAGTTAACTAATTACAGTAAAAAAAACTACATTTTGAAATATTAAGAATCTTAGAAATTTATTTGAGAAGAAAAGATTGGGGCTCAACGATGTAAAAGCTATGAAATACTTATAAGGTAAAGGAATGCTTTGAGTTTCAAAGTTAGGAAAAGAAAAGTAAGTTCAAAATTATTAAAGGCTATCCACATATAGTAATCTTCACTTGAAAAAGAAAAAGAAAAAGAAAGGATTGACAACAATCCATGGATTGACAACAATCCAAAAGAAAAGAAAAATATATAGGATTGAAAGCAATCCAAATGAAAATATATATATAAGTGAGGAGACGCTTGAGGAGATGCCTAATCAAAAATTGGCTTCACTGGACCTACCTAAAGGGAAAACCTAAATACATTCCTGAACTTATATTTATGGAATAGCATCTTTTACTAGTAATGTTCTAATGAAGTTCCTATCATTTGAATATTTTAAGTGACTTGATTTTACCACATATAGTCATTCTTGAAGTTAATAGAAAACTAGAACTCTTAAACTTGATGACTAGATAGTCTTGTACCTACAGAGTTAATTTAATTACTTGAAATTTTTTCGAAAATCTCACTATGGTATTTACTTAAATCAAACTTATAGTATTTCTAAATTAAAACTTTACCACAGTAGATCATAACTTTTATATAGTACTAAAATTACTTGAGGATGAGTAATAGTTAAGTTTGGGGGATTTTCACCAAAAGAAAATATGTTGAGATTTTCATACCAATTTTAGACTGATTTTTATGATATTGTACTTTAAATAAATGTATTTTTGATGTTTTGTTGCAGGTATGTTGAAATATGGTCATTGGAGCAAAAAGATGCAAAAAGGAGCGAATTTGGAGCAAAAAGGACCAAAATATGAAGATTTGTACTTGGGCGCCGGCGACGGGTTTTTCTCGAGAGTCCAGAATTAAATATTCTAGAAGGCTGTCGATGGCGAGCACATCGGTTCTCTCAACATTTGCATTGAATGTGGACGATTTTTAAAGGGACGTTTCTACAACGTTAAAAGAAATAATTTGGAGGACGAGAGAGGGGTGTCCACGTGTGTCCACGTAGGAATTCTTCGAGAGATTGTAAGAGTGGAAGGAAAGTGAGATATTTCTTTCTCCTTGCCGCTTCGAAAAAGAATTACTTGTGTTGTAAAGAAAGGAAGAGATTCAGAGGGACTTCGAGGAGTTTGCTTGGGGAGGAATTAGAGATAAGTGGTATTTACTTATTGAAGTTTGCATGACTTTACTTTTATATATAAATTCTAAATTTTTTCATATCTTCTCCATGAGTTTTGAGTAGTTTTCTCTGTCTTTCTCCTTATCTTGAGATTTTGTGAAATGGTGATTTGAATTGGTTGTGTCATGAGAATGTTAAAGAAATTGTGATGATCTTTTCACTTCAATCTTAATTTACTTTTAATCTGAACAATTTATTTGATAAAATATGTTGAGTTTTACAACTAATGTGAAGATTACATCCAAGATTTAGGGAGGTTAAAGTCCTTGAAAGTTAGGTGTAAATAAATAGGAAAATAAAAATTATCAGGCGTAGAATTGGAGATTTTAGAGTGACAGACTAAAATCCTCAATTTGGTCCTATCATTTGGGTGCCGAAGTGCAGATGTTAGCCCTCAGGCTAGGGTAACGTGGGAGCTCTGAAGTGAGATTTGGTATCCTCCCAGCCTAGCCGCAGATTCAGTAACCAAGCATTGGATTAGTCAATGTTCTTTATGCCTGGTCCAAAGGGTAAAGAATAGGTATGCTCCTATTTGACACAATATAATTTGAACTCATTCAATTTATTCATTCACTTAAACTTCTTGACAAAGAGACGGTTGCTTTCTTATATATTGAACTTCACATTAGAAACTTTATTAGTGGAATTAGTTAATTAAGAGTTTATTAAAATTACATTTTTATTTGAGTTGCCTAGTAGTGCTAATATGCAATTTGAACTATATTGTTGTGATTAAGTATTGATTTTTTAAATCTTAGTTCGTAGCCTCTAATATTACTCTCTGTGGGATTAATATCTAGGACTCCATTAGAGCCCTGTATTACTTGAGCAATACGTATACTTCATTGATAAGTGTGATTTTGTAATTATTGAATATTTTATACACATCTTTATCAAATCTATAACCGTTTTCAAGTTTTTGGCAGCATTGTCGGGGATTTAAATCTTCTAGCAGCAGTATCAAATTCTTGTATTTTTAAGCATAGATAAAGTTGCTATCACTAACCTATCAACTGATGGAGCGAGAAGACTGAATAGGTACGCTTTTAAATTAATGTATTTACCTTCTTGTACTTCTTATTTCAAACGTGCATGTTAAACAACTATGTCACCCTGCATGAAAACCAAAAACTGCTAGGATAGCCACATAACCAAAACCAAAACTAAAATCAGCCAAGATAAAAATCACCTCCATAATAATCAAAATATAAGACAACTTAAAATTTAATCACAAACATAATAAAACAACAATTGCATTAAGACATCTCTATCAAAAGATAGAGAATCCCTTGAAGGAGGTAACCTACGATTGATAACGAGGCTTCCCACGGTCTAAATGAAAGCACGGAACTCATTAAGTTGAGTTTAGTAAATTCATTTGGACTAAGTGAATCCAATAGAAAATAGTGGTACCGGAATGAGGGAACCGTAGGATCCTAACTGGTGTCGCTCTAATCAACTTTAACATGCCCCATAACATTTAAAGAACTTTAACCATAGGGATATTTAATTTGACATCATAACCTGACACATTAGAAAACTTAAACTCTTCAAAGAGGAGCAGCAGCAGTGAGCTGAGAGAGATGACCTGCTTCTTAGTTGCGACTACAACCACTGGCTCATCGTGATGGAATTTCTTAAATATCTGGCACCCACCAGGGAGCAAATGATTGATTTGTTTCTCAATACTCTCGTTACTGTTCTAGGAAGCATGGAGAAAGCTAAGAAGAATATGTATGCATTTAGCACTACTACTTATGCAGGTTATCAATGCACAGTTTCAAAGGAAACATCTGAAAAATTCAAGGGATTGCCTAGTGTTCTTTGGGTGTTACCTGATTTATACATCGATGTCAAGAACAAAGACTATGGAGGTAATAAATACATAAATGGGGAAAAAATTCCTTGCAAGTACCCACACAGAGAAGTTCAAAATATGAAAGCAGGAAGTTGGTTAAGCAAAGAGATGGGACTCCTCCAGATCGAAGAAGGCCAAGAAGTAGAACTCCTTAACCTAAAATAGTGTCGATAGTTTGTAAGTAGGATGTAATTTTTAAGTGAGTGACGGTGCATGCACCAATTCAAGAACAACACCCATAGGGTTGACCCTAAGGCCAAACAATCCTACGGGGACTCCTCTTGAGCTCCCCCATATTGGCCCCACCTACTAAGTGCTAGAGGATAGGACCAATATGTGGAACTTCAAGTTGAGTAAGGAAGTTTTTAGAGTTTCTAATCGTGAGGGTTCATTTTTTAGACCTCTAGGAATTGTAAATATGAAATTCTTATAGCTAGACTTTAAGCTACTAAAGAGGAAACTATAGCTCAACCAAAAGTGAGGTCAACAAATATACCCCTAATAGGTGTGGTGTGGTGGAAGAGCACACTGCACGTATTGGCATTAACCGATGAGACCAACAACACCAACACAGACTACAAAGAGCAGAATTAGGTGGGAGTTGTTTTCGCAGGGGAATAAAAGAGATTCTAACCAGGGTAAAGAAAGGAGATTTTTGGGATAATCATCGGACAGACCGACAGTCCTAGCGAAGATTCAATTCAAATTGAATATCTCAGATATTTAGTTTGGATTTCAATTTAAAATTTTAAGAAGATAAAATTATGTGGGAGGAAACCGAATTTAGTGGAAAACATAAGCACAAAAAAGGGAATAGGGCGTCAAAGCCTACACTAAATGTAAGGTGGGGAATAAGACGTTAAAGCCTACCCCGATTATGAGGATGGTAATAGAACATCTAAGCCTACCCCAAATGTGAGGATGGGAATAGGACGTCCAAGCCTACCTCGAATATGAAGATGAGAATAGGACGTCTAAGCCTACTCCGAATATGAAGATGGAAATAGGACATCTAAGCCTATTGATGCACCTAAAATATATAGTGTTTTTGGACATATTTTTATACCTATTTTCAAGATATTGTGCTTCAATGGAAGCTATTTTTGTGTTTTTCTTGCAGATACATGTAAAAATGGCAAAATGCTTAAAGGAGTGAAAAAGGATCAAATTTGGAGAAAAAAGGTCAAAAATTATGCAAAAAAGTTTTGGCGCGTAAGCGCCAGATTCTGTGCTTAAGCACCGGTTCAACTGGGAAGGCCACGCCTAAGCGCTAAGACCCCGCGTTTATGCACCAGTGGCAGTTACTATACGAGTAAAATTGGTTTTCATGATTTTCGAAGAGGTTTTTGAGGGACCCATTGGCTTAATAGGTGGTTGCAACCACCATGGATGAAAATTATCATGAAAGGATGCATCTCTTGGGGAAATACATCGAATCAAGACACATTTTGAAGAGATCCCAAGGCACCTCTTAGAAAACTATAAAAGAAAAAAGAGAGGACTTACAAAAGAGTCCTAAAAATATTGGCAAGTATTGAAAATTCTTTTTTAGGGATTTAGTTAGGAGAGATTTTCAGGAACTACTTTTTATTAACTTTATCCTTTTTGTTATTTTATTTTGAGTGATTGTAAAAGAGAAGAGATACAAAGGAACTTCAAGAGTTTGGTGGAGGACTTGAGATAAGTTTTTTTTTATTATTTTAGACTACTTTTGGTTTTAATTGAGACAAGTTGTTGGTTTGACAATGATTTTTTCTTTTAAACTAACGTGTGATTTTGTTTTCTCCATGGATTCTGAGTAGTTTCTTTATCTTTCTTCTTAAAATGATAAGTAATTAAGTTTTGGATGAAAGTTGTAGAGAGTATTGATCTTTAATGTTGGAAGAAGTTGTGATGATTTAAATCCATGCACTTCATTTACTTATTGATTTGGCCAATCCAGATGTTAAAATTTGTTGTGAGAACTTGTAAGAACCCGGTTGGTATTGTCTCAGTCAATAATTGGAAAGAATCACATGAGGTTTTATGAAGGAGAATGTACTTCATAAGATTGAGTGCAAATAAATAAGGAAATATTTATTGATGGGTGTAGAGTTAGAAGACTTTAAAGTGAGACTTTAAAGTGACCAACTTTGTTTATTATTTTAGGTTCTGATACGAGATGTTAGGGTTATGATAAGAGATTGTAAGCCCCTAGGTGGAGGGAATCGAGGGAACTTTAGAGTGAGAGCTAGTATCTTCTATGCCTAGCCAATCTTCAGAATTATTCAAACTTTAAATTTGCCAATATTCTTTATAGCATCTCTTGTAAGGGTAACGAATATTATTGCTCATATTTGACACAACACAATTTCCATACTTTCACAACAGAATTCATATACTTATTACTGATTCATGATAAGAAGAAAGATATATTCATATTAAATGCTTTTCTTCAACAAAAACTTTAGTTATCTTTTTACTGTTTCGTTAAAATATCAAAAATACCAAAAATATTTAAATTTTAAATTCCTGCAAAAATTGTTTTTAGTTTAAGTAATTATCTTTAAAAATAGAAAAACTTTCTAAAAGTGCATATTGCATAATCTTCCCTGTGGGTTCGATATTCAGGTCTTAATAAAAAATTCCTATATTACTTGATAACGATACGTATACTTGCGTAGTATCCCAATATAAATATATATAAATTAAAAAGTTAAATTCCTATTTTTCTTCAGAATCAAGAGTTTTTGGTTTTATTGCAAAATAAAGAAATATAAGTGAAAAATACCATCATAACTATTATTATACTGTGCATAAGCATTAAGTATTCAGGGATTAAGTTTTAGGCGTCGTTGCCGGGGATTAAAATCTTCAAGTAGTGGTGTCAACATCATAAATCCTTACATATACAAAATATAGTGATCAAGTTTTTGGAGCCGTTGCCGGGAGAGAAAAGAAAACTAAGTAAATGTCTATTTTTAGAAAGTCTTATTTAAAATTTAAATATTGTATCTTATTTTGTATGTTTTATTTTATTTTCTTTTATTTTATTTTATGTTAGTGTAAGTGTATGCGTAGTTCAGGTTCTAAAGGACTAGTGCCCTACGATTTTGAATTAGAAAGAAGTATTATTACAAAAATTAGAACAAAAATTAGAAAAACCAAAAAAAAATTAAAAATCTTGAAAAATCCTAAAAAATTATAAAAATGACAAACCAAAATAATCAAAATGCTAAAATTCATCAAGAGTTTAGACCTTTAAGAGATTATGCCAACCCTACTATAGATGAACTTCATTATAGTATTCAAAAACCTACTGTAGTGGCTAATTCATTTAAACTTAAACCTACTATTATCCAAATGGTATCATATAATCAGTTTGGGGGATAACCAACTGAAGATCCAAATTTACATCTTACCAATTTTTTAGAATTATGTGCTACATTTAAATACGATGGTGTTTCAGATGATGCCATAAGACTTAGGTTATTTCCTTTCTCACTGAGGGATAAAGCTAACATGTGGTTGAATTCGTTAACACCTAGATCTATCTAAACTTAGGGTGATTTAGCACAACAATTCCTTCTTAACTATTTTCCACCATCAAAAACTACGATGCTTAGAAATGATATTACATATTTTAATTAGTTTGAAGGGGAATCTATTTATGAAGCATGGGAACAAATAAAAGAACTCTTAAGAAAATGTCCACACCATGCTATACCAGATTGGTTAATAATTTAAACCTTTTATAATGGATTAATTTATTCTCTTAGATCTATTATCGATGTCACTGCTGGTGATTCATTGATGTCAAAACCATTTCATGACGCTTATGCTTTAATTGAAGAGATGACTACTAATAATTTCCAATGGCCTTCTGAGAGGGTGAATCCAAAGAAAGTAGCCAATATTCATGAA